GATCTAGTAAAGCATTTAAACTATGCGGTGTCCCACCGCACGAATAAATTATTACAGACATTCACCAACCCAAAAATCCTCGACATGTCCGAGGCTTTTAAAACGACATACATGAATTAAAAAACAAACATAAATGCGGGCCATAATAGTCGGATTCAAGAATACCTGCAAACACACTTATTTGCAATTCTAATCTATTATGCACTGCGTCTGTACACAATTAATTCACATATATCACGCAAGCCCTAAATTCGAATAGTGCACAAAGTCGAATTAGCCTGGGCTCTGATACCAGTTGTTGGGTTCTATTAGGAACGTCGACAATGTGCACATTCAAATCTACTGAATAATAAATCCTAACGCAGCGGAATCTATAGTTAGGATTAGGACTTACGGTTTAAAATTTTTGCCGACTCTGAGACTTTTCTGATTTCCGTTGATGAAGATCGTCTGAACACCAAAGTCTAATGGGCATCTAGACTTGGCCTTTCTCGATTCTAATCGAGCCACCATGGTGCTCCAATTGCTCATCAAGCTCATCGGATAGTCTCGGACCTTCGGTGAGTATGTCAGGCTGCTCGGGAACCATCTTGGACTCGAACCAGAGCTGCTGGATTCACCTGAACCGGGTTGTACCATGCTGCCACGCTGCTGGGCCGATCTGGAGTGTGATGGACCATTCTGAAGCTTCCTGGACAGCCTGGTAGCTGCTGGACTCGAGCTGGGCTGCTAGACCGCACGCTGGGCCGCTTGGATTGCATCTGGGCCGCGCAAGAGAGCATCTGGACCAGGACTCTGCTACCTGGGCTATGCTGGAGCATTTGGGCCGCGGACGCACTACAAATTGGCCAAGGAACTAGGCCATCAAGCGGCTGGGATCAGGCTTGGCGCGGGCTGGACTCAGAGGGAAGCGCGGGCCGCGAGCGGGCCGTATGCGGGCTAGAAAGCCCGCGCGCTGGAACCAAAAAATTATCCTATTCCCACAAGGAGAAAGATTGACCCCGCGACCTCGCAAGGAGAAGACAGCGCCGCACGCCACCGCGCTACACAAGGTGTTGCGTCAAATTAACGCATACTATGGATAAAGAACCTGACCGCGAAAACTGGAAATATATCAAACGGAATACGAATCAACAACCTTCGAATCTTCTATTGTATGACCTTTACACGATCTCTAATAAATCTTGGTGGAGCGATTTATTAGATTTCCCAAAACCTCTTGATCATCTTCTTCTAAGACCTTACGGTTCTAACCGAATTTTCTTTCGAAGAAGAATCTCTCTCTTTCTTTCTCGCTTGAAGAGGCCGAATTTCTCCAGCCCTTCGGGGAGAAAAAACGTGTGTAGCTTTTTCAAGAGGTTAGGGGACCTAGTGTATTTATAGGCTACAATAGGGACCTAAAGGAGGTGCTAAATATGGGCTTATCCTTAAGGTTTAAGAATCCTTATTATCTTCCATCTCCTTTTCCCATCTAGGATAA